GCGGTACGCGGGCCTCTCACTGTTGTGGCCTCTCCCGTTGCGGAGCACAGGCTCCGGACACGCAGGCTCAGCAGCCATGGCTCACGGGCCCAGCCGCTCTGCGGCATGTGGGATCTTCGCGCACCGGGGCACGAACCCGTGTCCCCTGCATCGGCAGGCGGGCGGACTCTCAACCACTGCGCCACCAGGGAAGCCCTCTCCACCCCCATTTTAATAAAATAAAAGAATAAGGCTGGAAGGTGCCTCACAGCTATTTTAGTTTACTTACTACTTTCTAGACTTATAAAGAGGCCAAATCAGTAGAATGACTTTCCTAATATAAGCTATACATGATCTAATGACCACCTATGTTCCAACATTACCCCACACCTAGTAGGACTGTAGAGAAGTAAAATAAATGCCAGAGGGTTACTCTAGACATTTCATGATTCAGGGTCTCTGTCCACTTCTGTCTAGGTCTTTTCATCACACAATTTGTGTTACTCCGCGATTCATCCCAGGATCCTTCCACAGGTAACACCGCATGGTTTCAGTCCAGGGACTCTCTGCTCCACTCTCCCCTCACTGAGGCGGGCTCCAGTCTCTCTGTCTCCTGCGGCACACGTGCTTAGGTCAATTTCGGGATGCTGGAGCTCCCCAGGCACCACCCACAGAGCAGGACGCAGGAATGGCTTTGTGCGGACAGTGCGCTCATGGATCACATCCCTCGCCTAATGGTCCGTGGGAAATGGGTTTGGAACCTGGGCCAGCACAAATGGATGGCAAACAGATGCAGTGACTGAGGGGCAGGTAACCGTTAAACGCAAGCCCCAGTGGCAGGTTCTGGGAGCTTTTTTCCCCCATTTAAGTCCTGGGTTCCAAATTAAGACTCTGCCAGCTTGCTTCTCACAGGGTACTCTTTGCCAAAGGCACTCTTTGAAGCAGCTGAGCAGTAGAATTTGGTTCTTCAGTTTCTCAGGGATTCCAACCACAGAGATATGTCCTCCCTACCCACCTCCCCCAACCAGGTATGAGCAAAAGCCCCACACCAGGAGGACAGCTCTGGCTTGCACAGTGGGAAAAGCTGTGGTGACAGGTACTCGGACTCTGTCCTCCAGGAGTCCTGGCCAACAGGTTGTATGTGAAAATGTGTGCGGTGACAGGGAGGGGGCTACGGACTGAGACCTCCTCACCCAGTTGTCCCACTAGGTTTCTTTGCTAAGCCAAGCATGCTGCAGGCTTACTGGATCTTACAGCAGTCCACTCGGCTGAGCAGGAAATGATGGTGAAGGGAAGTGACAGGATGCCAGGGAGTTAGAGTCAGAGACAGAATCAGAGCCTGGGTCTGTGGGCTCACAGAACTTGAACTGCTGCAGGTGGTGATGTCATTTTTCCCTTGCAGAAAGGTGCCATGGGCTTCTGGAAGTTCCCCCTGTTCCTGGTCCTCAGCATTCTGGTCCTGAACCAGGCAGGTATGCTCCAGGCAGCGCCATTCAGGTGAGACAGCCCTGCCAGGAGCACTCTCACCTCCTATGGCCCCTGGAATCATACAGTTCTGTGTTCTCAGTTGTGCTTGTGCTGAATCTTTAGCAATTGGCTCCTGGTGGGTGGAGGTGGGGGGATGGGTGGTGGTAATGTACAAATGTACACTTATATATAAGTTTATCATAAAAAGATGTGTAGCACACAGTTTACAAATAGACGTAACATATACAGTACTAGTTATTATAAATTTCATATAACTCATTGAACCTCACAACATACTTTTGTTGCTTCTTATCAAACACTTTTATCTTTAGCAAAGCTATTTACTAACTTAACCATAATTTGAGAAATGGATTTCATCCTAGTCTGCTAACTACTTGGCCAATAAATTTGTTATTAAATCTGATATGTGATCTATTCATCTAATTTCTCATCCTCATTCAAATTATATTTATTAAACTGAAACCATTTGCAGATTCAAATTATCATTATCATTTAATTTTTAATAATGGCTGCATTTAAAACACTAAGCTCAAAAAATTCCTGAAAATCTAACCATCAGTTGCCAGCAAACCATTTCTTTGAGGTCACACCAGAGCCTAACTCCTGGTGAAGCAGCATTTTGGGATAGACAATGGCCTCATTTCTTCCGTTGGCAGTTGGGGCAGCCACATCCTCAGGAGAAGATACAGAAACCAGGAAACCTGGCTGCTAATCCTGGGGGTGGGGGTAGGCAGGGACTCAGAGCCAGGATTGTGCTTGCTCCCCTTCCCTAGGTGGGCCTTGGAGAATGGCTTTGATCCTGCTACACTCACCAATAAGGAAATGCGCCTCCTACTGGCTGCAATGATGAACGATTATGTGTAGATGAAGGCCTGTGAGCTGAAGCAAGAGACAGGAGGGCTTCAGGTTAAGGCTCTGCCCTCTGCTCAGCACTTACCCTCTCCCCTGGCTTACCAGGAAGATGTATCCTGACAGGTAGGAGAGAACATAGCTGGATAGGCAGCCAGCAAGCAGTCACTGTTCACCTTGGCCTGGGGCCCACCTCTTCTACAGGCTCCACTGAAGACAGAGGTCATGTGAAGGAACTATGGTTGTACCACATGTACAAAGATCCCTTTCTAAAAGCAGTGGAACTCCTCACTCCGGAAATTGTCTGGCAGTACTGAGGATACCTCCCAGCACTGGAGGAGTTTAGCCTCATAAAGCCAGGGAATGAATCCCATGTATCTCAGGGGATTTTATAAATCTAGCCCCTCCTTGTTAACCTGCACATGATATTCTTTCACACCTGCAAGGCATCTTCATTGCACATTTGCAAGGTGAAGCCAGAGCCCTTACAAAGGATGTTGTCAGGTAGCACAGTGTCTGAGGTAGGTCCTGGGCCTTCAGATGTGTAGAATCTGTGGAGATGTGCATGTTCTCACTGGACCAGACACCCTTCCCCAGCCTCACCTCCCTGTGCACCCTGAGCTTGGAGCTCACACCAGCTCCTGACCTGGCCGTACCTGGGCAGAGGTATGTGCTGCACCTGTATCTGCCCTAAGAACCTCTCTGCAGAGCAAGAAGGACTGAGCAGCATGTGGAATGCCAGAAAAGGTCACCCCTTCCCCCCGCAGCCCTTCCCCACACTGCCCTGGCTCAGTGAACCTCTGTGTTCTCCTAATGGAGGATGCGTGAGCCGCCCCCATTCCTGCCCCTCTGCTTTTGCTCCAGGTGCCCTCTCCCTATTCTAACCTTCTGCATGACTGCCTGCAGGGGCAGCCCTGGTGCATGGTATTGTCTAGCCTGACTTTTCCCTGTAGCCTGGACAGGTCCAGAACTAAGCAGTGCAACAATCTGAGCACCTGTGTCCTGGGCACATACACATAGGACCTCAACAAGTTTTACACATTCCCCTTAACTAAAACTGGGGTCAGAATGCCTGGCAAGAAATGGGTCATGGCCAGAGTATTGGAGAAAGACCATGACCCCTCATGTTGGCATGCCTCAAGGTGCCTACTCAACCTCTTCCTCTCCTTTCTAATTCCTTTGTTCTTGTAACTTGATGTATGTGGTCTTCTCTGGTTGCTCTTTGGGCTAGTATCAGTGGCATTCTTTGTGGCAGTGGATGTCTGGAACATCAGATGGGAGGAGGGAGAGCAGGCCAGAGAGAATCATTCAGGAATAGATGACGAGAAGAGAGGGCAGCCCTGTAAGTACCTGCGGATTTCATAGCAGAGCTTCTCAGTCCTGCTTCTGAACATGCCTTTCATTGGGGGAATAATAGTATATTTCTAAAAACCCCTGAGCTGTGGTGGTTATTGCTCTGGCCACATCCCACACTTCATGGATACAGGGACCTGTCTGGCAAGTAGCTTTAGCCCCGGGTAGCTGGAGTCAGGGCATAGTGGGTGGTCCCTGTGAACAACCTCAGGTAGTGAAAACAGGAGCACTAAGCACCTCTGAGACTTGATGCTGCAAACTCGCTTCCTCTTCCAGGAGGACAGGGGAATTTTCCTTTTCCTAAGGAGTACTCAGTACCTTGTGAATGGGATGCATCTTCTAGACAATCTTTAAGAATGAGGTTGGATATGGCACCATAATCTCTCTAGTCACCTAAGCCTTGGTTAAGCTTTCGTTTACTTGTACAGAAAAGACTGGCTGCTATAGTTCTGTGTTCCATGGCTTGTTGCCCAGAGCACGTTTGGGTTTTCTGACACCCTTGGAAACGTCTATGGGGAGTGATTGTGGCACTTTCCCTAATGCCCTATGATTGTCTGTGGTGATTTCGTGTTTAGGAAAAATATTTAAAGTTCATTGGTGCCTCTCAGAGCAGTAATTTTACCATGTTGGTCCCATGGGGTAGCACCTGCCCTCAGCCTCTCACTGACAGGCCTTTTCTTTTTCTCTATCCTGCAAATCAGCATCACTGCCCAGAAGAGATCCTGTAACACTGCGACCTGTGTGACCCATAAGATGGCGGGCTGGCTGAGCAGGTCTGAGAGTGTGGTTAAGAACAGCTTCACGCCCACCAACGTGGGCTCCAAAGCCTTTGGCTGGCACCGCAGCGACCTTCAGGCCTGAGCAGTGAAATGACTCCAGGAAGAAGACAACTGCCCTAGTACCTCAGATGGCAGGGCAGATGGCTGGGTATTGCAGGAGTGCAGGCCACAGTCTGACCCTCCCTGGTCCTGTATTGTAAAAAAATCCACAGTGAAGGTGCCAACCACAGTGTCTGGAGAAAGAACAGAGTCCCAATAGCTAGAACACCTAGAATTTGGGTTCATTTCTGCTTTTATTCAGTGCCTCCAAGTGACTCTGAGATCATCTGCCAGGAAATATAGATCCTATTCATTTAAAACACAGTTTCCTACAGTTATAATTGTGATTATTCTAGTTTTTTAGTTTGAAAGGCAAAGACCCTACCCTTTGGGAGTATTCCCTACAATGTCATGTACATCTGGATTCAGAGCATAGACTTGGGTTCAAATACTGTGTTTGTCCTCTACTAACTATATGACCATGGACCTGACCCTCTCTGAGCCTGCTTCCCCATATAACTTGAAAGCAACAATAAGTACCTACCTGTATCATTAATATAAAAAGTAATTGAGATAATACATGACAAGAGCCTCGCTGTTAATAAGTAATAATATTCTAGTTCTTACTTTTTTTTTCTCCTGGGTCACCAAGGAGCTGAACTCCATTTCTTTTAATTTGCAATGAAAGCGCCTTATTGAAAAGAAATATCATGGAAGACACACATATATGCATGCCTCTTGATATTGAAAACACTCCTTTTTGCTTGAAATAAACTAAAGATAAATGCAGAATAAAATCATTGTAATTACCCAATGTGCAACTTTTTTATAGTTGATTCTGTATTCTATAAATATGATGCATGTCTCACTGGCTTATCTGGTAGCAAATCTGGGCCCTGTCAGCCAACCTGTTGGCTGCTCTGCTAAACCTCAGGGGCACATGAAATCGCTGCCTTGTGGGTGTCTGGAGATGCCTAGTAATGCTGAGCCTCAATGGAACTCTCTCTTTAAAGAAATGTTCTCATTTGTGCACTTCATCAAGATAAAAAATATATTTTCGATACAGTTAAAAGGAGTTCCTGCTGTTATTTATGTTGTTTTTCCCATGAGAACCTCAGGGACCTGTGACACTTTGTTGACCAGGCTGGCTCAAATGAGGCAATGATACCATGTTTGGGGTGGGTCCTCAGTATCCTGTATCCTCAGTGTCTAGTGAAACACCTTTACTGGAATTAGAACCCTGTGCATCTCAAAGACATTCACATTTATTTTCAGAGAGTGCCCTGGTCCCCAGCCCCAGAAGTTATCTGTTCTCTTCTCCTTGACTCAGGTTTGCCCTTACCCATCCCTGCCTTTCCACCCAACAGCACCCTTTCATACACCCCATAGCCGGCAAAGCCCTTTAGAACAATGGCTCACAGTTTGAAAGGGGATCACACACTGGCAGACCTAGAAAGATCATCAAATGCCATCTAATCCAACTTTTTACTCTCTGATGTGCAGAGAAGAAAAGTGCATTGCTCAGGTCCTGCAATAAGTTTAACAGAGACATTCCTATATTTAACAAATAATCATTGAGTGTCTGCTATATGCTTGACCTTATTTGAGCTCCAGGACTAGAGCAATGAACAGAACAGACAAAACCCCCTGCATTCATGGAGCTTATATCCTAACTGGGGGAGACTGAGGTGATACATGCTGTAGAATTGGAGATGGTCGGTATTGGAAGGAATCTGGGATGTCATGGGGTCTAAAGGCTTATTAGATACAGAAATTTCCCAGCGTCAACATCCCTGGCATTTGCTGGAAATGCCGGTGAGAAACTGCTGACTGTAACTTCCAAGATGACTCAGCAGGAAGTTTCACTGGTGGGCAGTCAGTTAAGAGGGTTTTTTAAATTAGAAAAGTCATCTACTACCTACTGATTCTAGTTATTTCCTCAGAAACGCATAGAATTATGACCCTTGCTCCCATTCATTCTTTACTCATCACAGTAGTACATAAAGCAGATCAGACCATGTCTCCCTTAAGTACAGAATACTCCATTGAGTCCCCATCTCACAGAGTAAACACTTGGGGCATTGCAGTGGCTTCTTAATAAACTCCACTTGGTCAGAGGATATGTATTAAAATTTATTTCCAAATTCAATTTGCTTGTGATTTATTTAGGATTTTGTACTACCTTTGTTAAGTCTAGAATTGGGGCTATGCCAATGGTATCAAATGAGTTGGCAAACTTGAAATTTTTCTGTTTTAAATCAGTGCAAATAGTGTGAAAACTATCTCTGCCTTAAGCTGGATGTAATTCACCTGTAAAAGTTTCTCACAGAGTTCTTTTTATAACATAGTTCCTTGCAAGGTTTTCAATTTTTTCAAGATTATTCAACTCTACTTTTTTATTTTATTCTGTATATTCTTGATTTATATACATTTCTGTGAAACTTTAATTTTAAAATTTTTACATGCATTAGCAAATCGCACTTTTTCATTATAATTTAAATTTTTCATATTTGAGGTTATATCTTCTTTTTCATTCTGGATGTAGTGTACCTGTACCTGGTAGTCTAACAGGTACCACATGACCTGACCCTATATATTTCTCAGATCTCCTGACAACTGACCCATTGCTTGCTCCACTCCCATCTTCCTCTGGGTCTTTGCAGTTACTATTTTCTCTGCCTAGCATGCTATTCCCTCAATGTTTGCGTGACTGACTCGCTCCCTTTCTTTCAGAACTCTGCTGAAACATCACCTTCTCAGAAAAGGCTTTCCTGTATGCTTATATATGAAATGGCTCTGATCACTGTTTACCCACCTTATTCAGCTTTATTTTATCCATATAGAACTTACCATTATTTTATCCACATGGAACATATTACCATCTAAAATGTTACATATTTAGTGGGTTTTTTTGGTCTATGTACTTCCACTAGCATGTAACTCTATGAAGGAAGTTATATGGATATTTACCTATATCCCTGGAGCACAGAAAAATTTCTAGAACATGGTAGCCCTTCAATAAATATGTTGAGTTAATAAATAAATTATAAAACTCTATGAACTTCTGACTTATTTTCCTCTGAGTTCATCTTTAACATAAACTCAGAGGAAAATAAGCATCATGTTTTGAGAAGTAAAGTTGTCATTTTTAAAATCATCTTTAATTTTTCTTTTGCTATCTACTCTTAACTCAAAAGTTATTTAGTAGAGAAATTTCAAATTTAAAATAGATTTTAAAATTACATTTCAGTTATTTAGTTCCAGGTTTTTTGCACTGAGGTTTGATAAAGTGATCTCTACAATTTTTTGCTTGGGAAATTTAGTTAAATTTTCTTTGAGGCCTATTATATGGTCCGTTCTCACAAATGTTATAAAAATAACAGAAAATAAAGTACTTTCCCTGAGCTAAAAACTTTTATATCAGTATCTATCTATGTATATATCTATGCATATATAATTAAAAGATTAATAACATTATTCTTATATATTATTTTTGCCTGGGTAGTTGATCTTGCAAAGACTAAGAGAGGGCAGTAAAGTTTCCAAGTGTTATTTTTGCCTCTGTGAATTAGACCCTTGTATTTCTAAAAACATTTAATTTTACATATTATAAAGGGTTATTTTTTACTTTTAAAATCTACTTTCATAAGGTACAAATTATATAATATAAAATTATATAGATGAATTATATTTCCATGAGTTTTTCTGAAAGTATACCATAAAATCTATGTAACCATCGCAGCAATAGAAGGTATGGAATATTTCCATCATCTCAGAATGTTCCTCATGCCACTTTGAAGTCAATATCCTCCAAACCCCTGCCTCTCATAATCACTGATGTAATTTATATCACTGTGAATTCATTTTTCGATAGATATATGCTATGTACTCTTTTTTATCTAGCTCCTTTCAGTCAGCATCTTGTTTGGGAGATTTATTTATATTGTTGCATATATCATTATATAGTTACCTGGGAAACTAATTGGATATTAATTGAGTATTAATTCTCAAGGATTGTAGAGGAGGGGTTAAGTAGTATTCCATTGCATACTAAAATCTGTTGGACAGACAGATGCATTACTTTCAGTTTTGGTTATTATGCATGACACTCTTATGAACATTCACGTATAAATATTTTTTGGAACAGCTGAAGCCATTTCTCTTGGATAAATAGCTAAAAGTTGTATGGTAAATGCCTGTTATGACTCAACTGACTCTGCCAGTTTACAAATCGCTCTGCCGTTTTACACTCCCAGCATAAATGTCAGATCATTTAACTTGCTGCACACAACCTTGACAATGTTTGGTATTTTCAGCCTTTATAATTTTGGCCATTCTTATGATACTGTAGCAGATTCTAATTGTGAGTTTTAATTTTTATCTCCTTAATAACTACTGATAATTGAATATCCTCTCATATGCTTATTGGCCATTTGTTTATATTCTTTCATGAAGTTCCTGTTCCACTATTTTTCCCATTTTTAATTGGACACCTTATCTTCTTACTATGTAGTTGTAAAAGATCTTAATATATTCTAGATACAAGTCCTGCTTCCTTTGGGGGCACTATTTCACTTACCTGCTCACGTTTCTCTCCCTCTTGAATCACTTCTTCTGTGGGAAGTCAGATGCCATGAAACGAGGCTGTTCAAGCAGGCTATGGAGGAGTCTGTGTGTCAAGGAATGCAGGTCTCTGACCAATAGCCATGAAGAATGGAGGCCTGTCTACAACCAAATGAGTGAGTTTAGAAGTGGATTCTCTAGCTCCCTTTGAGCCTGGATATGACTGTAGGCATAGCTGAGAGCTGGACAACAACCTCAAGAGAGACCCCGAGCTAGAACCACTCAGCTGAGCCTGTCCCAGAGAACCTACTCTCAGAAACTGTATGTGATATTAAGTTTTTGTTCTCCAGAGCTGCTAAGTTTTGAGATAATTTGCTACACAGCAATAGATAACTAATATCCATCCAAACCATGATAACTTTAGTGCTTTCCCTGGAAAACACATTCAAGGGAAGTTGGCTAGATGAGCAGACCTGAATTCAAGTTGGAAGTCACAGTTCCCAGAAAGGATGCAGTCA